TAAAACGGGGTTTAAGGGTTAAGTTAACTAAACCCTTTACCCGTTTACCCGGTAACCGGGGGGCGGGGGGGGGGCGGGGAAGGTGAAGTGGCGTGGCGTGCCCGTGCCTGTGGCGGTTCGGGTGGCCAGAGGAGGGTGGTGGTGACGTGCCCGGTTCGGGCAAGGGTTCGCGGCCGGGCGGCAGGCGAGGCTACGGGCGGTAGACGATGATGGACGGCTGGCTTTTAGCGGTCGCGCTTCTTGTAGCGGGTGGAGCGATGGATGGCAAAGGCAGATTGTGCGAGGTAGTACGAGCCAAAGGCGATGGCGGCCGAGGTGGCGATGGCGAGCGGGAGCGGGAGGGCGAGAGCGGAGAGGGCGACGGGGACGACCGACTTGATGGAGAGGAGGATGGCGGTGAGCGGGAAGAGCGAGGGCACAAACTGGCGCGCCGAGGTGAAGCGGAGCGACGAGGCGTACTCGAAGAGGAGGAAGGCGCCGTAGAGGAAGCCGACGGCAGCGATGCCATCAAAGTTGGACTTGATGGCGAGGCCGATGCATGAGAGGTCGATCTCGTGGGCCCGCGAGCCCATCCACATCTGCGGGACCTTGCCGAGGGCCTCGGCGGCGCCCCAGCCGAGAGCGAGCGCCTTCATCTTGGTCTTGTCCGAACCCGAAGCCGACGAGACCGTGGCCAGCGCACCGACAATGGCGACGAGCGAGATGATTGTCTGCCCGACGAGCGAGACGACGCGGAGGGTTCCTTCGTGAGCATCAACGGGCAGAAACGTTGCCATGAAGATCATGTGCGCCGTCGAGGTGAGGACGTAGCCCAGCGCGCCGCGGACGACCAACGACGTGGACGCGTAGTCGGAGCTGTGCATGGAGAGCGAGATAAGAGAGTGGTTGGTATGAGAGTAGCAGCAGGAAGAGGAGCAGCAACCAGCCAGCCAGCCAGCCAGTCCGAGTCCAGCAGGAGGAGTAGGAGGAGGAGGAGGAGGAGCAGCAGCAACCAGCCAGCCAGCCAGCCAGTCCGAGTCCAGCAGGAGGAGTAGGAGGAGGAGGAGGAGGAGGAGCAGCAACCAGCCAGCCAGCCAGCCAGTCCGAGTCCAGCAGGCAGACGTAGGAGGAGGAGGAGGAGGAGGAGCAGCAACCAGCCAGCCAGCCAGCCAGTCCGAGTCCAGCAGTCCCACCCCACCAGAAGACCAGCAACCCCACATAGCCACACCCATGCCCACACACCCCGTGAGTCCCCACCCATCCCCCCTCCCCCCCTCCCCCCCCCCCCCCCACACACACACGCACTACGCTACGCACACACGTACAGCTTGGAGCCATAGTATACCATGGGGTAGGGGCCAAAGGCCACAAGGAGACACGCCAAGAAGTAGAACATGCTGGGCAAGGCGAGTAGAGTGGTGGGCGTGGAGACGGGGTGGCGGGGTTCACGGACTGGGACGGGCGTGGCCGGGCAGCAGGGTATCAGTCACTTGCTCCCTCGCTCCCTACGCACGCATACCATTATTAAACATGTCGTTGAGGGAAAATTGAAGGCATTTACCGCCACCAAGTTCAGCCGGTGAGGGGGGGGGGGGGGCGGATTAGACCTGAACAACACCACCAACAACCTTGGGATCGTCGGCGATCTCGGGGATGGGTGCGGTCTCGTGGGGGAAGATGGCCTCGCCGCGGTACGAGTTGGGAACGGGGCGGATGGGCGCCGAGACGGCGACACCGGCGGACTGGCACTCGTTGACGGTGGCGGCGCCAAGGACAATGTCGCCAAAGAGGCCCTTGATGACGTAGTCGCCGCCGACAGGTGTGCCGTCCTTGATGGCAAACGCCGGGGCAAAGCGGTCGGGCACACCGTCGCCGTTCGAATCGACCTGCTCCCAGGGAATGCCCCAAAGATCGCCCGTGCCACCGTAGTTGAGCAGCGCCGGGACACCGTCGTTGGACGCGTCACCGTTGCGGTCATAGGCGGTCGAGTGGGTGTACGAGAACTGCAGCGGCTGGTCAAAGGTGACGACGGCGCCGGCGGCGTCGCGGACGACGACCACCTGTGAGAACTTGGGCAGGCCAAAGGCAAAGGTGTAGGTCTCGGCACCGGGGCGCGAAGTGGCATCGGAAACCGATGTGAGGCCGGTGCGGTTGGTCACCATCACGCCCGACTCGACGCCAGAGTAGCGGTAGCGGAACGAGACGCCAGATGCCTCAAGGTCGACGCCGGAGCCAAAGCCGACGGCCACGCCGCCAAGGCGGACGATGCCATCGGCCGGGTCGAGCGTGTACTCGATGGCGTTGGCGACCGAGGTCGGGTTCGGCAGGTACGCGCCGTCATACGTTGTGAGGTCGCTCGACGAGACGGTGGCCTTGGGGCAGTCGCGGAGACAGTAAAGAGTCTTGACGCCCGGCGTGCCGAAAAGTACGCGTCGTTGGCAAGCACATCCTCTCTGGTGTAAAAGGTGACAAAGCTGTCAGGCGAGTACCAGACGACCGAGCCTCCAAGCATCTGCGAGTAGAGGAAAAGCGAAGTGTCGGTGACGGCCTCGGGCGGAGAGATGGGCGACGGCGCGGCCGCCGAGTACGACTCGATCTCGACGGCGTACCAGCCGGGCGACGGCGTGAGCTTGTACTGGATGTTGACGGAACGCGAGCGCGACGACTGGTAGTACGAAAACTTGAGCTTGGTGATCTCAGTGAGCGGCTTCTGGATGACTCGCTCACGCACAATCTTGGAGGTCTTGGTCGCGACAGCGTAGGTAGTCGGCGTGCCTGAACCCGAGCCAGAGAAATCCTGACGCGTGATGATAGTACCATCGGGGATCTGGACGTCGTAGCCGAGCTCGGTCCACATGCCCCAGTTACCAACAAAGCCCATGAGTTTGCGAGTCGACGAGCTGCTGCTTCCGGACTCAGCCTCCTGGCCGGGCAGCGGCGGAACAGTGACGCCCGGCGGGGCGTCAAAAGTGAACGAGAAGCCAGTGTTGAGCTTGACCTCGGCACCAGTGTCAACCCGGTACAGGCCGTACTGCCACGGGAACTCGCGCTCGTTGGCGAGGTTGAGGCACTGGCCCGAGAGCGAGTCGAGTGGAACATCGGCCTGCGACGTGCCCTCCTGGAAGATGGCGTAGGTGGCGTCGTAGGCGAGGGCATACCAGGTCTCGGACGAGCCGGCCGACGACGACACCGAGCTGCCCGAGGTGGAGCTGGAGAACGAGCCAGACACCGCACCAGACGATGATCCGCCCATTGTGGACGAGGAGCGGTCGACAACCCAGGCCGTGCCCGAATCGGTGAATGGGTCAAACGAGACGACGGCGGCCGACGAGACCATGGGGACGGGGCCGGCCGAGGTGAAGACAACAAGCTCGATGAAAAAGTCGAAAGCGACGCCCGAAGGCACGTTGATAGTGCGGATCGAGGCACGGGCCTCCATGCGGCCAAGGAACGGTGCGTCGCCCTTCATCTTGTACGAGAGAACAAAATCGCCGAACGGGTTGCGCGGCGACGGCGACTCGATGGTGCGCAGGAAGATGCGAACAAGCTGCTCACTAGTCCCGTACCACGAAGCCAGGAGCTGGTCCGAGTTGTCGTCGACACGAGTGGCGACGTTGACGGTGCGGGTGTACGAGACGCCCGAATTGCCGCCGGACGAGCCGCCGGACGAGCCGCCGGACGAGCCGCCGCCGGACGAGCCACTCTGCGGCGAGCACTTTGCCTCGTCGACAAGCGCCACGTACTGACCCTGGTTGACAAATTGCTGGACACGCATCTGGTCGATGATGCACAGAACAGTGTTGATCGAATCGAGCGGCTGGGTAGCCGGGTGGTACACCGAGAAGCTTTGCGCGGCGTTGGAGTAGTCGGTGCCCGGGTCGTTAAAGGCGAGTGCAGCAAAGATATCGCCCATGGGGGTTGTCGCAAGCGCGTCCATGGCGTGCGCCACCATGACCGGGTCGACGTCGCGGACCGAGCGCCGACGAGCGCCCGAGTTCTGGGTAGTGACCACCGAGGTCCGGTCCGGCGCAGCCTTGACACCACGCCCGTTGCCAGCAATCATGGCTGGGGCCGAGGCCGACGACGACGACTTCTTGTTGGCCTCCACACCAGCCACAGTACCGCCAATGATAGCACCAACCACAACGAGACCGCAAATGACGGCCGCCACAATAATCAGCATCTTCTTCTTGGAATCATTGTCCGAAGTGTTGGTCGCGCCAGTCGAGCTCGGCTTGGCCTCGCCAACCTCGAGCTCGTGGACGCCCTGGATGTTTTCTTCGTCAATAGCACTCATACTAGAAGTAGGTGAAGGGGATAGAGTGAGTGAGGGGGGGGGAGGGGGGGAAGAGGGAGTGGGTGTGCTGTGGAGCGTTGCGGGGCAGGGGTACGGAGGTGCGGGGGTGCAGCGGGAGATGCACGTTACGCAACGTCACGGGTTCAGGTAAACCAAAAAAAGCGAGTAACGAGCACGTACGAAAGAACAAAGTCAGGTGTGTGAATGCCAACCGCCGCGCACACGCGGGCGGTTCGAGGTTGGTGGCTGGTGGAGTGCGGCGGGTTGGTTGTTGGTTGCTTGGTATGTGCAGTGTATTTGTTCGGATTGGTGAGAAGTCCAGGCCCGTGTTGTACATGAGGATGGCCTGTGGTTGCTTGATATGTACAAACGCGTTGAGGAGTGCGCGAGTTGGGTGAGCGAGGACGGGCGGGTTAGACAGTAGCCTGAATGACGCCTCCAACAACCTTGGGCTTGGCGTTGAGCTTGGGCGGTGGATCGTTGGCGTAGGGGAAGACTGCCTGACCCTGGTACGAGGTGGGAACCGGTGCGACGGGTGCCTTGACCGCAACGCCGGCAGCCTCGCACTCGGCGGGAGTCGCCGGGTTGAGGAGCACATCGCCAAAGAGGCCCTTGACAACGTACTCGTTCGACCCGCCAAGCGGCGTGCCGTCCTTGAGGGCAAAGGCCGGCTCGAACTGGTCGAGCGTCGAGTCGCCATCAGAGTCGATCTGCTTCCATGGGATGCCCATGAGGCCGTCGACCCGAGGTAGACAAAGAGCACAGGAACGTCGTTGTAGGTCGCGTCGCCGTTGCGGTCGTTCGCCGTCGTGTGGGTGTATGTGAGCTGAAGCGGCTCCTGGAGGACAACAACGTTGTTGCTCGTATCGCGGAAGATGGGGAACTGCCGCCAGGTCGGGAGGCCGACATTGTAGGTGTAGGTGCTACGGCCGGCGACCGAGGTAGCATCAGCGATAGTAGTGAGTCCGGTGGTGTTGGTGACCATGATACCGGACTCGATGCCAAAGGTAAAGGTGAAGAACACCGTCGAGTCGTCGATCTTGACACCGGCAGCAAGGTCAACGGCGTTGCCGCCAAACGAAAGCACGCCGGTCACCTTGTTGTACTCGTACTCGATGGCCGATGCAGGGTCTGCCGGATCCGGGAAGTACGGGCCGTCAAACGTCTTGAGGTTGTCCTGGGTGATCCCAGCGCGCGGGCACTGGGAGAGGCAGTAGAGGGTCGTCGTCGTGCCGAACGTCGTGTCGGTCGGCAGGACCGTCGACGTCGTCTCGTACGTCACGTAGTTGTCGCCAGAGAACCAGCTGACCTGTCCGTTGAGCTCGGCGCTGAACAGGCTCAGCGACGACGGCGTGATCTGCTGCGGTGGCGTCACCGCAGTCTCCTTGAACTCCGAGTTAAAGGTGGCGACGACGTACCACCCAGCCGGCGTTGCCGACGACAGGTACTGGATGACCACCCACCGCGACTGGGCGGACTGGTACCACTCGAAGCGGAGCTTGGAAATGTCGGTCAGCGCCTTCTGCTGGATCGAGCCGCGCACAAGCTTGGTCTTCTTCATCGAGACCGTGTAGGTCACCTCGTCGCCGCTGAACGTCTGCGCCTGGATGGTGGTGCCATCGGGCAGGGCCTGGTCGCCGAGCTCAGTCCAGATGCCGTCGAAAAAGGCAAAGCCCATGAGCGGGCGATCGGCCGAGTCGTCGCCGGCACCCGGAAGCTTGGGCACCGTCACGCCGGCTGGTGCGGTAAAGGTGAACGGGAAGCCAGTGTTCCGCTTAACGACTGAGCCATCGGCGGTGTTAAACAGGCCATAAGCCCACGGGTACTCCTTCTCGTTCTCGAGGTTGAGGCACCTGCCCGACGCGGTGTCGGTGGGAACCTCGGCCTGGGTGTTGCCCTGCTGGGTTACGGCAAACTTGTCGTTGTACGCGAGAGCAAACCACTTTTCGACGAGCGGCGGCGGGGGCGGCATGGCACCGCCACCAGAGCTGCCGCCGGGACCGCCAGGACCACCAGGGCCACCAGGGCCACCAGGGCCGGTGCTACCGCCGCCAGAGCTTCCGGACGCCGGCGGGCCCGAGCTGCCGCCGCCTGATCCGCCGCCAGATCCGCCGCCAGATCCGCTGCCGCCGCCGCCACCCATCGAGCTCATATCCATCTGGCGGTCGCGGACCCAGGTCGAGCCGGTACCCCCAGCCTTGTTGTACTCGATGATGGCGCCGCCGTCGAAAAAGGTGAACGACTGCCCATTCATCGAGCCCGAGACCTTGAGAAAGTACGAAAACGCGACGCCGCCGCCTGCCACGTTCACCGTCTTGATCGAACCCTCACCCTTGATGGTGAAGCCGTCCATCGAGTTGCTCATCTTGTACGACAGCACAAAGTCGCCAAACGGCTTGGCCCGAGACGGCGCCTCGCGAGTGCGGACAAACAGCCGGATAAGCTGCTCCTTCTCACCGTACCACATCGTGGCGAGTTGGTCCGACGAGTTGTCACGCCGAGTCGCCTCGACAATGGACCGAATGTACTGCACACCCTTGTTGTTGTTGTTGCCGCCGTTGCCGGACGGGGCGCCGCCGCCACCGCCGCCGCCGACGTTGCCGCCGCCACCAGTGTTCGGCGTGCACTCGTCTTCGTTGACGAGGGCGACGTAGCGGCCCTGGTTGACAAACGAGTCGATCTTCATCTGGTCGACAACGCAGAGGACCACGTTGATCGACTCGAGCGGCGCCGCCGCCGGCGTGTAGACAGCAAAGTCCTGCTGGGTATTCGAGTAGTCGGTGCCCGGGTCGTTGAACGCAAGCGTGAGGAAGGCACGGGCAACCGGCTCGTTGGCAAACATGGTCCGGGCGTGGGCGACGAGCTCCGGGTCGATAGGACGATGGAGCGCGCGCGAGGCACCGGTGTTGGACGTGGTGACGACCGAGGTCTTCTTGGGCGCAGCCTTGACGCCGGCACCGTTGCCGGCAATCATAGCCGGCGCAGTCTCGCTGTTCGACTTGGATTCGTTGGCCTTGATGCCAATGACGGCGCCTGCCGCGGCGGCGCCAACGACAACCACGCCAATGAGGACGGCAACGAGGATAAGGATCAGCTTGGACTTGCCCGAGCCATGGTCCGAGACCTCCTCCGAGTACTCTTCATACGACGACTCGATCTTTTGGCCTTGCCCTTGCCCTTGTCCTTGCCGGCAGGCTTGGACTGAGAAGAGTGTGCGCACTGCAAAAAAAGGTCCGTTGCTGAACTTGGCGCGGCTGGGCTTTGAGCCGACTCCTCCTCTGACGCATAGTCATAGTCGTACTCTTCGTAGGACATCTTTGCACGCTGTAGGAATGCGGGTATAGAGAAAGAAGAGAGGGAGGGGAGGAATAAGGAGGGGGGATGTGCGTACAGTGACTTAAAAGTACAGCGAAGATCCCGCCACGCAAGTGAAGGGAGGGGGGGGAGGGGGGACGTAGACGAGGACGGGGACGGGGATGAAGACAAGGGTGGTGAGAGGGGGAGTGGGTAGTGAGTGAGTAAGGGTGGGGTGGGTGGGTGGAGACGGTCGTACACAATGAGCGAGAGGTGTGTCGCTGGCGTGGAGATAGCGCTAGGCGTCAAAGATAGGAGGGAAAGGGAAAGGAGGAAAAAGGACGAAGAACGCCCGCTGACGAACACGAAGTGGTGACGACACGCGTGGGAAGGGTAGCGACCCACGCGCGCGTGTGGCTTGGAAGGGGGGGGGGCGATGGTGCGAGAGCGACAGAGACAGCCTGACCAGTGGCTAAGGCCACAGCCACCACGACGACCACGGCCACGACGTGACTCGACGGACGAGCACAGAGACAGAGGAGCAGAGGCAGTGGCAGTGGCAGTGGCAGTCTGGTATGTCCGCGCTGAAGCAAGGAAGCGGCGGCGGAGGAGGAGACGGGGACGGCGACCGGCAGAGGCGAGTCGGCCTGAGCAATCTGGGGAACACATGCTACATGGCGGCGACGTTACAGGCACTGATGGCGACAGAGGGCATGACTGAGGCGCTGAGGTCGATGCAGACTATGGTCGGGGACGACGGGCTGGGCAATCCGCTGGCCTTTGATGGTCGCCTCTTTGCCTCGTATCTGGATCTTGTTGAGCTCGTCGAGCAGGCGGCCGCAGGCCGAGGCAGTGGCAGTGGGTCATGCGTGGCGCCTGCAGCCTTTAAGCACGTGATGGATGGTCTTGCGCCATCGTTCAAGGGCCATGCCCAGCATGATGCCCACGAGCTGTGGTCGTTTCTGCTCGATGGCCTGCACGAGGAGACGAACGTGGCGAGGGCGCAGAGGGCCGAGACCGAGGGCGAGGAGGAGCCGGAGGACGATGGCCAGAGGACTGGCCGAGTCACCACTATGGTGGAGCATCGGGCCAAAGAAGCGTCAGATGCCGAGGCAGCAGCGGCGTGGCGGCGGTATGTGGCGAGCAATGCGTCGCCGGTGACGGGCATGTTTGCCGGCCTCTTACGGTCGCTTGTGCTGTGCGACAGCTGCGGGCTCGGCTCGACGACCTTTGATCCGTTCACTTCGCTGGCGCTGCCGGTTCCACCGGATCCGCCGGCGACAGTCAAGGTGACGGTGGTGCCTGCGGTGGCGGACGGGCGGTTTGTGCAGTACACAGTTGACGCTGAGACGTACGAGGACGTCGAGGAGATCAGCGAGGCAGTGAGCGAGCTGGTTGGCATTTCCAGTGACGCGCTGCTTCCGGTCATCATTGTTGGCTCAGGCTTTGGTGAGTATGTGCCGGAGAGCCGCGAGTCGGACGAGCTGGCGTATGGTGACGGCAGCCTGTATCTGTACCAGGTCGCGCCGCCGGACGAGCTGGCGTCCGGGGCAGTCATCCGGCTCCCAGTCTGCCACCGAGCCAATTTTGCGGTCGAGACCGAGGTTTACGATGCCGCCACCGAGGGCTACGTGGTGCGCCGGGTGGTGCGGCAAGAGTACTTGGGACTTCCGCTCATGCTCTCAACGCCGCCGGTTGTCAAGTACTCGGAGCTCAAAAAGCAGATCCTCAGCGCAATGGCGCACTACGTGTCGGTGCCGGACACGGTCTCGCTGAACAATAGCGAGGCGGATGCCGACGCAGTGGCAGGCTTTCGCGCTTGGTTTCATGAGTACATGATGTTGCTCGCGGCGGCGGCCGAGGCCGCGCAGGCTGACTCGGACTTTGACTCGGACTACGACGAGCTCGACGCCGGCTACTTTCCGCAGGTCGAGCCAGGCCTGCCGCTCTCGCTGGCAGCAGCGCGGGGCGAGCTCTTTACGCTCATGGCCGACGGCATCGATCAGTCCGCAGTCGATGCCGGCATCGACCAGGACCTTGTGCTCTCGCCGGACACATACGTAGTGGTCGAGTGGAACGAGCAGGTCGTGTGGGAGGCGTACTCGCTCTCGCGACTCGCCGACTGCGAGTACGATGAGACGTCACTGGCCGGCAGCCAGCGCGGCGCGCTCGCACCAACGCTCGACAACGCAGTCGCGGCCTTTGCCGCACCACAGGTGGTGTCCGGCGACGGCGGATGGCGGTGCCCGGCATGCGAGGCCGGTGGCCGGGCGACGCAGATGCTCTCGATCGAGCTGCCGCCGCCGATGCTTGTGGTCCATCTCAAGCGGTTTGTGCAGGACGAAGCGAGCGGGCGGCTGGCCAAGAAGCACGCGTTTGTCGATGCACCTCTCGTCGGCTTCTCACTCCCAGTCACTGGCGGCGGCGCCTCCGCCGGCTACTCGCTCTACGCCGTCGTCAACCACTACGGCGGCCTTGGCGGCGGGCACTACACCGCGCATGTTTGCGGCGATAACGGGGTGTGGTGGACTTACAACGACTCGCGGGTGTCCGAGACGCAGGAAGCGAGTGTTGTCTCGTCGGCGGCATATCTGCTTCTTTATCGGCGTAACGACCAAGGGCTGCTGCAAGCGTCCAGCTAGTCATAGCTTGGTCATCTCGACGGCTCAATCGACTTGCTCAGCTTGTAGGCGGCCTTCTCGTCAAGAACATACAGATGTGAGACGAGGGCGTGTGTGGTGTCCCACTCTCGCGAGCCCTTTTTGGCGGCAAAGGCGGCCGAGTAGTCGGAGCCTTGGAAGCGGGTGAGGGCGAGGACGATGTCTGAGAGCTCAGCATACTTGCTAAAGTTGATGCGGCCATCGATAAGGGCTGGGGCACAGTCAGCGTGATGGAGGACGTCCTGCAGGGTGAGGCCGAGGAAGGGGATGGCTGGTGGCTTGAGGGTGCGGAGGACGGCACGATAGCGGGCCGAGTTTGCGTCGACGCCCATGAGCTGCTCAACCTTGCGCAGAGCCTTCTTTGTCCGCGACGAGACCTTGGCCCAGGTGGCAGAGAGGCGCGAGACCGAGGTGTTAGAGAGACCCGAGAGGATGGCCATGAGCGAGTTGTAGTTGTTGAGCGAGACGAGCTTAAGGAGGGAGTGGATGAAAAAGGTGATCATCTTGGCACGGCGCTTGGGCGAGGAGCCGACAAGGACCTGGGTGGTGACCCAGCGCGAGACCGAGTTGAAGCGCTCGACGAGCTGGTCAAGGTGCGGGACTGAGGCGCGCTTGGAGAGCTGGAGGACAAACTCTGCGGGCGGTACGGCAGAAAAGAGGCTGGCCTCGATGTCAGTGAGAACGTGAGCGAGGACCGAGGGCGAGGTCTGGGCCAGAGCCTTGCCGTCGTCGGCCTGCAGGGCCTCGAGTGAGACGCTCCCGGGCTCGCCAATGCCAGCGACCGAGACGTCCTTGCCGACAAAGCCCGGGTCGTCGGCACAAGCCGCCTTCTTGTCCTCGACTTTGGCGGCGAGCTTGGCGGCGAGAGAGGGAAAGTCCTCGGTGGCGAGCTCGATGAGGTCATTGAGGCCGGCTTGCAGCTCGGGCGAGGGCGCAAAGTCAATAATCCAAAACTTTTCAACCCATTTGAAGGCAACATTGAGGACGCGCATGCGAACCGGGTTCCGCCACATGGCCATGTACGCCTCCTCTTCGGCGTCGGCGCCGTCGGCGACCGAGAGGTTGAAGCGGGCGAGGAGACGGAGCATGAGCTGGAGTGGGTCCATGAACGAGCGGTAGTTGAGGAGAAAGGCGTCGATGTAGACCGAGTTTGGTGCGCGCTCGTTGGCGAGCTCGCGAACAAGAAAGTCCTCGGTGGCCGACATGAGCGCGTTTTCGCCCGACTCGGAGCGGAGATAGGTGGCGACGACGGCCATGGCACCAGACTCGGGATCCTTCTCAGACACAACGACAATAGCCTTGGACGACTCGGTGGCCCAGCTTGGACCTGGGTCTTGGCCTTGGCTACGCCGACCATCGAGGCAACAGAGGAGCGGCGGGCCCAAGACCGTGGGTTGGGAGGAGAAGACCCGCCGGCGCTCGAGCTGGCAAGGCTCGGCGACGAGGCTGCGCGAGCCTTGGAGATCTGCTCGCTGCTGATGACCGAGTCTGGCGAGGAGGCCTCGCCGCCCGACGCGGAGTCGACGACAACCAGTTCGCCGACGTCGACGTCGCGGCCGATGAGCGGAGCTGACAGCGCGAGGCTCGGATCCTCGTTGAAGAGCACTTCTGCGTCGACAGGGCGAGTTGGGCGGAGTTCCGAGGCCGAGGCCTGGAGGGCGGCCTCGAGTGAGAGCGGGCGACCCTTGGTCTTGCCCTTTGCCTTGGCTTTGGTCTTGCCCTTGGCCTTGGCCTTGGCCTTGGCCTCGGCCTTGGCAGCTCCGGGCGAGCCGGGTACATTCCACACCGACTCGGAGGTGTTGGCATTGACATAGTAGTAGCGAGTGTACTCTTCGGACCAGTACGCACTCCACGGAGGGGGGACGAGCGGCGGCGGCGGCGGCGGGCGAGCGGAGGAGGAGCGGGCGTCCGAGTCCGAGGCGGCAGAGCCAATGTCTGCATTGGCGCCGTCGTCGGCCTCGCCAGCGCTCCACGACGGCAGGTCGGCCGAGTGCGAGCCTGCGTCGGAGAGAAAGGCTGTGCGCGGCGAGACCTCGCCATCGCCCGAGTCTGACGAGCAGAGGGTGAGGGTGGGCGGCTCGTCCGATGGCAAGAAGCGGGCGTTGAGGGCATCGAGGTCGTGGAGCAACGGCCCGATGGACTGCGAGGCGCCATCGCGAAGTGCTGTCTGGCCCGAGCCAGAGAGAGAGGAGGCATCGTATTCGTGGTCGGCGTCGTCTGTGGCCGGCTCGTCCTCGCCGTCCAAGTCCAAGCCTGAGCCCGAGGTCTCGGACGAGTCGAGAAGGCGAGCGCCCGGCACGGCGGTCGACTCAGCGTCGTCGTCGGCAGGGCTGTCCACGGAGAACGACGAGCGGGCAAGGTTCGAGGTTGCACAGTCAGCGCGGCGGGAGATTGAGGAGCGGCGGTCGGGCGACGGGGTGGGGAGTGAGAGGGCGAGGCCGAGTGGGCCTTCGGAGAGGATAGAGCCCGAGCGCGAGAAGCCGTTGTCACCTGTAGGTGAGACCGGCGACGAGGCCGAGCGCGAGCGTGAGAGATCGGCGAGCGACATGGAGCTCCGCATCGGCGAGTCGAGGAGCGAGAGCGAGTGTGAGAGCGGGCGGAGATCGTGTGTGTGGAGAGCGATGCGCTGGCCCGAGTCGTCGTAGAAGACGGCCTGGGCACCCGGTGCGAGGAGCTCCCGCGGCTCGCCCGAGAAGACCACCACCGATGGCTTGTCCGGTGAGAGCGAGGCGGACAAGTCCCTCACTCTCCTCCCCATCCGCTCCTCAAACATCGACAGCACTCTCTTCCCGCCGCCACCCTTACTCGCCTGTCCACGCAGCCGTTCCACCGTCCGAGCACGAGCCCGAGTTCCCGACGGCGAGCCCGATGGTGAGCCTGGAGGTGTGCTAGGCGTGACTGACGGCAGCGGCGGTGGTTGAATGTTGTCTGTGGGTGTGTGTAGGGGGGGGGGGGGGGGAGGGAGTATGGCAGCAACCGTGTGTAAAAAGGTCGGTGAACATGAGTGCATGCAGAAGTGAGAGGGATAGAGAGGGGGAGGAGGGTAGGGGGGTGGGAGGGGGGAA